AATAGATGCTGACCGAAAGGGATTATATGGTGCAACTTGGCACGACACTTGGCAATTTGGAGGAGATGTTTAGTCAAGGTCGCAAGTTACGGGAAACAGTCCGATTGATCTTCAAATGTAGATATATCTTATCGGCCAGTGGCAAGCAACCAGCAAAACAAAATATTACCGGATAAATGACGATGAGGCGTTGAACACCGTTTTAAGTATGCGTTGGAAATTTCGAACCCCAAATTGTTGGAAGTGACATTCAGAAAGAGGTTGTACAGAATCTTCCGAATGAAACACAGATGGAATCGCATCCGTTCACTACATTGCTGACACATGGGGTTGACACGACAGCATTTCAGTCTCCTATGTATGAATCAAATGAATGTTATGCAGCTGGCTACCAACAACAGACATTTCATGGCCAGGTGGAGAATCAAGTTACATGGTGGATACGAGACTGAATTTCACAATAACACCCAGATGTACAGGCTTCATGCACTCTACCATGATGAGGTCCCTTTTAGTCATCCACATCGGGCTGACAGTTATGGAGGACCCGGTATGCAATAACGTTTGTTGGACTTTACGCGTACAATGAAATACACTGCATTTTGTTTTTCATTTCCTTGATAATGCTATATTAAAAATACTCATCTGTTATGCAGGACCAGTCAGCACCGTGGTGGATGCCGACGGGGAGATTCCGCCTGTGGGATCGTCCTTGCCCATAGAGTCTTGCAGTGTCTACTACGCGCGGGATTCTATGGTGTATATCGTATAGGCCATATCAGACTGGACACCACTCATTACTGCTCTCGTCGAGAGATGGCGCACAGAGACTCATACATTTTCATTCCGACCGGTGAGGCCCGACGTCACATTGCAGGACGTATCTGTCCTATAGGTCTACGATTGATGGGCGGCAGTTGCTGGATCTTGACCCATCATTGACGACGGAGCAGTGGATAGCGCTATGTGCTGACTATTGGGAGTAGACCTACACCTGCAGACTTACAGGCAGGTAGAGTGAGGGTGAGGTGGCTGTCGGAGATTCTTAGGGCGATTTTCCAGATGATGCTGCAGATGAGTTAGTACACGCAGCATGCGCGAGATATATTCTGTGGCTTATTGGGGGGGTACTTCTCCCTGATAAGTCACAGAACTGCTCAGCTGATGTATTTGCACGTTGAGAGACATTGACTCATCGGCCAGTACAGCTGGGGCGCCGCGGCTTTGGCATGCCCTTGTATAGGATGTTATGTCGAGCCACTCAGGTGGGTGTGACTTCAGATGGAGACCCCTTGTCTTGCTACAGTTAGTAAGAATTTATTACATTCAATTCATTTGTATGGCATATATTCAGTATTGTAATTGCGTTCAAACTATTGCAATTTGGGCGGGGAGAGATTGATTCGCATTGCCCGGCCTAGGCGGCAAGTAGTTGCTCCTGGTGAGGTTCCCCATCGGGCAGGGAGACATGCAGATGCGGCCCGGACCTCGAGGTAGCCGATGGAGGGTTGACATGAGCCACGAGGCTCGTACTGACCCACGTAGTGCGTGTATAGAGACCAGCTTGACCGATGATACGGCGAGGTATTAAATTTAAATACCTAATTTTTAATTGTCATATGGACTGTATACCGTTTATGACCGATTTTTAATAGACTTGTGTTATGTAGTTTATCTGGCAGCCTATGCCTATGTCCTCGCACACGCTCCAGACTACTGCCGCCTAGGTGAGGATATATGGATGGCGAGAGTACACTCATTTGTTATGACGTGGTTGATGGCATCTCCCTGATCGTGTCCTCCGACAGTTTGTCGGTCCAGCCGTGCCGGATGATGTGACCCGAGTGGGCGGTTGCATGCGACGATAGACGTGGTCGGCCAGCACTGACTGGAGTCAGCATCATATTGCGATACATACAGTTGTGGGATGCCCGTTCGCGAACTATTGTACAGGCTGAACTGGAGCGATGGGTCCTCCCTCTCCCGACCTTACATGTTGTGGTATCGGCGACATACCACCTACTTGTCGGATCTGAGCCACCTGTCGCGAGGACGGATATCAGGGAGTTGGCCTTCTCTCGAGTCATTGGTGAGTAGCGTACTATATTCTCCGATAATTGTTAATATCAATAATTGATTATTTTCAGTCAACTATAGCCTAAATATCTTATTTTTTTGACAGTGGTTCGAGCTGGGAGGTCATATCACTTGGCTAGGAGCTTATTATTCAGACGTGATGGAACTGTTGGTCTGCAGGCCCTTGTAGGACAGAGAGTTATTGTACGGGGATCCAGCATGCCCATCGGGATAGAAAATCGTCTGCATTTGGGGATACGGTGTACACACTTAGCTATTGCTGCTCCAGACACATAATCCCGTCCACGTCAGTGCTTCCAGTTCAGCGCCGCCAACAGCAGGTCCTTCGACTTCAGGCACCCACACATATACATACATTTCTCCATATATTCCCAACACGTACAATCATTACCCAGCATACGCTGACCCTGACTTGTTGCACCGCTCGCTTCATACCTGTGTATTACCCCACCACCCAGTTCCATCCTACTTTTCTGGGAGTACTTCGACCGCCCCGGTTCTGCATGGTGTCACCCACCCACCAGTTACCACCTGCTTTTATGGGACTACTTACACGCCCAAGGAGTACACATGATGCAGTTCTCACTGACATCTCACCATTGATGAATGAGGGCCATATTGAGCCCCCACCCCAGGCGCGAGGGGAGTTATGGTCGTGGGGGACGTCGCGGCGAGTCGGGGTGCGGGCAGAGGCAGAGGTCGTGGTCGAGCTGCAGTGCGTGATACAGTTGCAGACCGACGGGAGTGGAGTTCACAGCTCACAGCAAGTATATATTACAGGCACAGGCAGGATCAGGGGCATCAGATGCAGGAGAGGGGGGTCCACTCACACTCATCAGCTCCGCAGGCAGTCAGTGGAGGGCAGCATGCAGGGGAAGGAGTGCAGAGTATTCAGAGAGTCTACCGTAGGAGACCGAGAGGGAGATCCACGGTCGGGTTGTGGGACTGGGGCAGTTGGGCATTAGCGGTTGCGATATGGAACTATATAGGTTTTTTTTTTTTTTTCTTTTTTTTGTCTTGTATGTGTCAAACTTGTACAGCTGATGTAAGTGTCATACTATTTATTCGCAATTACATTTTCACAATTTTTTATTCTTATTTATATTGATGATCCACAAAAATCTGTTTCACAATCTTAGCCTCTGCTCATTATACGTAATTTAGGAGACAAATTACAAACGATTTGTTGAACAAAATGTGTAAAGAGCTATAAAAATATGTTCGTGAAGGCTAAAATAATTGAAATATCTGGCTTTATTGAATAAGTCATGGATAAGCATTACAAATTTGCATGCATTACAGAAATGCCCTGGGCTTCATACCAACAATTTCAATTCTTATCATCATCATCTGACATCTCAATATTCAGATTCATACTAACATCCATGGCTCCATGGCGTAGTACTAAGTGTGCATCATCATTAACCCATTTCGGCACGCTCATTGCGGTCCTTCATTACGTTCAAGTCACCTCTGAAACGTGGGTCATGCGAATTAACCTGGTCTGCGGATACGATGCATGCCCTTTGCAACAACTGTGGATGTCAGTTGGCATACGCATTGGCTAACCGGCGAAGGAAATTTAAGATTAACTTCCGTGCCACCGTCAATACATGAGAGCTGAGTGGGATTTCCGCAAACTCGAGCAAACGTTCTCGTGAGCTTGCCGTGAATTAATCTTAAATCTTCCTCGCGCGGTTAGCCATGCGTATGCCAACTGACTCCACAGTTGTTGCAAAAGGGCATGCATCGTATCCGGACGAGGTTATCGCATGACCAACGTTTGCAGAGGTCTGAACTAATGATGACGCCAAATGAGCGTGCCGAGATGGGTTTAATGGATAATGCACACTAGTAACGCCTGGACATGGATGTTATGTATGAATCTGATATTGGAATGTCAGATGATGATATAATGAATGATATTGTTGGATGAACGCCAGGGCATTTCTGTAATGCATGCATTTGTAATGGCTATTCATGACTTATCACAAAAGCGAGATATTTCAATTATTTCTTAGCCTTCAACGAACATATTTTTTTATAGCTTCATTTACCATTTTTGTTCAAACCAAACGCGTTTGAATTTCATGTTCTCCTAAATTACGGATATGAGAGGGGGTAGAGAATTGAAACAGATTTGTGTGATCCTCCATATAAATAAGAATAAAAATTGTGAAACTGATAATTGCGCAATAAAGTAAAGTAGACACTTACATCAGCTGTACAAGTTTGACACATACAAACAAAAAAAAGAAAAAAAAACAAACCTATATAGTTCCATATCGCAACCGCTAATGCCCTAACCTGCCCCCAGTTCCACAACCACCGCCGTGGATCTCCCTCCTCCGGTCTCCTAACGGTAGACCTCTCTGAATACTGGCACTCTCTCCCCTGCATGCTGCCCTCCACTGACTGCCTGCGGAGCCTGTGAGATCGTGAGTGTGACCCCCCTCTCTGCACTGATGCCCTGATCCTGCCCTGTGCCTGTAGATCATGATACTGCTGCTGAGCTGTGAAACTCCCACTCCTCGTCTGGCTGCAACTGTATCACGATCTTGCATGCTCGACCACGACCTCTGCCTCTGCCCGCACCCGACCTCGGCCGGACGGGTCCAACACAGACCCAATAAACCTCTTCCCTGCAGCTTGGGGGGGGCTCAATATGGCCCTCATCTCAATGTGTGAGATGTCGTGAGAACTGCATCATGTGTACATCCTGGGCGCGGTCGACGTAGTCCCATAAAAAGCAGGTGGTAACTGGGTGGGTGGGGTAGCACCATCATGCCTGAAACCGGGGGCGGTCGAAGTAACTCCTCAGAAAAGTAGGATGGAACTGGGTGGGTGGAGGTAATAAACATCAATGTATGAAGCGAGCGGTGACCAAATCACGCGCGCCAGGGTCAGCATGCGGGTTTAAGAGGGGTAAGATGTACGTGTGGGGAATATGGAGAAATGTATGGGGTATCATGTGGTGGGGTGACTGAAGTCGAAGGACCTGCTGTGGCTGGCGCTGAACTGGAAGGCACTGACGTGGACGGGACTGATGTGTCTGGAGCAGCTGCTGCACTGTGTACACCGTAGTCCCCAAAATGCAGACGATCTACCCGATGGGCATGCTGGATCCCCTCGTACAATAACTCTTTGATCTCTACAAGGGCCTGCAGACCAAGCTGTCCATCACGTCTGAAAATGGCGTCCTCAGCCAAGTGATATGACCTCCCAGCTCGAACCACCTGTAAAAAAAATAGATATATTAGGCTATAGTTGACTGAAAATAATCAATTATGATATTAACAATTATCGGAGATATAGTACGCTACTCACCAATGACTCGAGAGAAGGCCCAACTCCCTGATATCCGTCCTCGGACAGGTGGCTCGGATTACCGACAAGTAGGTGTGTATGTCGCCGATACCACAACATGTAAGGGTCGGGAGAGGGGAGGACCCTATCGCTCCAGTCAGCTTGTACAATAGTGTCGCGACGGGCATCCCACAACTGTATGTATCGCATATGATGCTAACTCCAGTCAGTGCTGGCTTGGCCACGTCTATCCGTCGCATGCAATCGCCACTCGGTGTCACACCGATCCGGCACGGCCTGGACCCGACCAAACTGTCGGAGGACACGATCAGGGAGATGCCACTCAACCACGTCATAACAAATGAGTGGTACTCTCGCCATCCATATATCCTCACCTAGGCGGCAGTAGTCTGGGAGCGTGTGGAGGACATCAGCATAAGGCTGCCAGATAAACTACAATAACGACAAGTCTATTAAAAATCGGCCATAAATGTATACAGTCCATATGACAATTAAAATTTAGGTATTTAAATTTGATACCTCGCCGTCTATCATCCGGTCAAGCTGGTCTCTATACACGACCACTACGTGGGTCGATACGACCTCGTGGCTCATGTCAACCCTCCATCGGCTACCTCGAGGTCCGGCCGGCAACTGCATGTCTCCCTCGCCGATGGGAACCTCACCAGGAGCAACCAGTTGCCGCCTAGACGGCGCAATGCGAATCAATCTCTCCCATGCCCAAATCTGCAATAGTTCGAACGCAATTACAATACTAATATATGTCATACAATATGAATTGACATGTAATAAAATTCTTACTAACCTGTAGCAAGACAAGGGGTCCTCCGATCTGAGTCACACCCACCTGAGTGGCTCGACATAACATCCTATACAAGCATGCCAAAGCCGCGGCGCCCCAGCTGTACTGGCCGATGACGTCAATGTCTCTCAACAGTGGCAAATACATCAGCTTGAGCAGGTTCTGTGACTTATCAGGGAGAAGTACCCCCCCAATAAGCCACAGAATATATGCTCGCGCATGCTGCTGTACTAACTCATCTGCAGCATGATCTGGAAAATCGCCCTGAAAATGCTCCGACAGCCACCTCACCCTCACTCTACCTGCCTGTAAGTCTGCAGGTGTAGGTGCTACTCCCAATAGCTCAGCACATAGCGCTATCCACTGCTCCGTCGTCAATGATGGGTCAAGTCCAGTAACTGCTCGCCCATCAATCGGTAGACCGTATAGGACAGATACGTCCTGCAATGTGACGGTGGCCTCACCGGTCGGGAAATGAAATGTATGAGTCTCTGTGCGCCATCTCTCGACGAGAGCAGTAATGAGTGGGTGGTCCAGTCTGATATGGCCTATATGATATACACCATAGAATCCCGCGCGTAGTAGACACTGCAAGACTCTATGGTGCAATGGACGATCCCACAGGCCGGAATCTCCCCGTCGGCATGCCACCACGGTGCGTGACTGGTCCTGCATAACAGAATGAGTATTTTAAATTATAGCATTATCAAGGAAATGAAAAACAAAATGCAGTGTATTTTCATTGTACGCGTAAAGTCCAACAAACGTTATTGCATACCGGGTCCTCCCATATACTGTCAGCCCGATGTGGATGACTCAAAAGGGGGACCTCATCAGGTAGATGTGCCATGAAGCCTGTACATCTTGGGTGTTATTGTGAAATTCAGTCTCGTATCCACCATGTGAACTTGATTCTCCACCATGGCCATGAAATGTCTGTTGTGTGTGGCCAGCTGCATAACATTCATTTGATTCATACATAGGAGACTGAAATGCTGTCGTATCAACCCCATGTGTCAACAATGTAGTGAACGGATGCGAATCCATCTGTGTTATATTCGGAAGATTCTGTACAACCTCTTTCTGAATGTACACTTCCAAACAATTTGGTGGTTCGAAATTTCCACCGATACTTAAAACGGTGTTCAACGCCTCATCGTCATTTATCGGTAATATTTTGTATTTGCTGGTTGCTGGCCACTGGCGATAAGGATATCTACATTTGAAGATCAATCGGACTGTTTCCCCGTAACTTGCCACCTTGGACATAAACATCTCCTCCAAATTGCTAAGTGTGGCGCCAAGTTGCACCCCATATATCCCTTTTGGCTCAGCATCATATGATGCACCTTTATCGGGATCCCGAATTATGTTTCCCCCCCAGTAGAAGATAATTGGAACAGTTGCCATATACTTGTTTCAATGAAACAGTAAATATTAAAATATGAACAATATACATATATCGAAACAATGTCCATGGAACAGTTGCCATATACTTGCTTCAATGAAACAATAAATATTAAAATATCAACAATATACATATATTGAATTGTACTTGTAAAATAAACATTAAAATTTGCAGAAGCCACAAATAAAAGCAACCCTCTAATTTTTTATCAATTTATATTTTCCAGGGTTGAAAGAACTGTAGAGGTGAAACATTAATTCAATTTGTATTTTGTCAACTATATATTTCTGTCTCAACTTGATTATTACTGTTTTTTTTCTCATTTTTTTCACTTATTTTTATTCATATAACAGAACAGCTGAGATTTTATCTATACGTGGAGTTATAGATTGTGTCTCATTTACTTCCTATGTGAAGACTCTTATCTTTTCAACGTGAATGTTCTTTGTTGTCATTGCTCTATTGTCTTAATCTAAAAAACACATAACAAGAACTATACTTGTTGTCTTAATTCTTTCGAATTAGTGGCGAAAAATAAAATAGGTTGAGAGATATTTAGTAGAGGGTGACGCGATTGATTTGGACAATATAAAATACAGGGTGCAAACATTGAGAGAGATTTTTTTAACCTGGTGATGTAATTGTTCAGATTTATGGAAAATATAAGCTAATTTGATTTGCTCCAACTTGTGCCATTACGGACCTTAATGACAAAGTTATTTCCTATGTGAACTAGTAACCCTCGTCCATTTTGTAGAGGGCATAGAGGCTTTCTTATAAAATTAAAACAACAAACTGATTTTGGATCATTTTGGATCGTTCTGAAAAGTAAGAAAAAAATTAAATTTATTTACTCCTTTTTTTTCTTACACATACAAAAACAAAAAAACTATTACAGAGATAATTTATAATGGCCAAAAATTAGAGATAATTAAATTGAAGTTGGTGGTTAAATGTATGGACTACATTTTGGATAGTTATCCATGTGAATCTATCAGGCCATCCGTACCAATTATTTGGTATTACAAAACACATGCTTACCCATCAAAGTGCCAATTTTTTTTTTCCCCTTCTTACGTACGAAATTGCTATGGACTATTAATTAAAATAATTTATTACTCTTTTCATGCATATATGTCTGCACACCTCTATGGACAGAATAATTATGATATTTGCTTCCGCCAACCCCTAATTTTGTAAATCTATTTAACTGGCCTTCGGTAATCTTAGGATTACTGGCCGGTCATACCTATAGTAGCGAGTTTGGGTCGTGATAGAGTGGTATCAGAGCACGAGTTATACCGTACACATGAGTCCATATAAGCTACAAGATGTCATAGAAAGAATTAGGGGCATTACATCAGCATGTGTTAGTGTATGTGAAATTACACGACATGTCTGAAACAATTAGACATGAAATGAAATTGAACATTGTCAAAACTATAAACGAGCTATTTGCCTATGTTTATTAGTGCTCTATTTACCTATAGCAAATGGAGAGAACAAGAAGTGATGATGTGATTGAATCCTATGATGCCAGAATGGAAAGAATGTTAGAAGCTTTAACCGAGTCCATGAGATAACAACAGAGACAACAACTACCTCTTTCGCCTTCTTCAGTGCAAGTGGAACTGATAATTAATGACATTATCGGGTTGACTCAGAAATTTTTTTAATCATATTTTGGCTGTCTGACCCCAAATATAGTGAAATAAACCAAACGAAATTAAACCAATTTTTTTTTTTTAAAATCAAATAGAGTCAAATTTAAATATTTTGAGAAACCAATAAAAATATTTCTTTTCAATAAAATAGAGTCAAAATTAAATATTTTGATAAACCAATAAAAATATTTCTTTTTAATAAAATAGAGTCAAAATTAAATATTTTGATAAACCAATAAAAATATTTCTTTTTAATAAAATAGAGTCAAAATTAAATATTTTGATAAACCAATAAAAATATTTCTTTTTAATAAAATAGAGTCAAAATTAAATATTTTGATAAACCAATAAAAATATTTCTTTTTAATAAAATAGAGTCAAAATTAAATATTTTGATAAACCAATAAAAATATTTCTTTTTAATCAAATAGAGTCAAAATTAAATATTTCAGAGAACATGATCTTTTATTTGAGAGAACATGATCTTTTCATGGAGAGAAAATTAAATATTTTTTTAATACATGATACATTCAAAATTAAATATTTTTTTGTTTAATAATTATATTTTGTAGAAATTAGACATTAACAATTTCTGAACCATAATTTGATTCAACAAATGTAGACATTTTGATTCACAAGCATAATTTCAAAATTCTAATTCCTGATTTCAAATTTAAAAATATAAACATTTCGTCATTTCAATTCTCAATTCTCAATTCTCATATTTATGATTTATTTAAAAAATTCAAAAAATTCAGAAAATTCCAAACCCGATTTATGATTCAAAAGCATGAAAATTCAAAGGCATTAGAACCCTTAATAATGTGAACCCTAAAATGACATCCTAATTTGAACAATCCTAATAATGTGAACAATCTGATATCCAACCCTAATTTCATCACCACAAGTTCACAACCACACTGACAAAGCATAAACATTCATAACCATATTCAATTCACAAGCAACATCCAAAAATTCAAAAGCAAAAAAATTTCACAAATTCAAAACCATTCGCATTTCTGATTTCCAAACCCTGATTTCTGATTTCAAAAAATTCCAAACCCTAATTTCATAACCACAATGATAAAAACCCTAACACATTTAATAATTCACATGTAAAACCCTAACATTGACAGAAAAATACAACACATTTACAAACACAAAAACTAAATACATAAAATTAGGGTTAATGTCATACCACGGAGAGAGAGAGAGAGCAGAGACAGAGAGTGAGAGCAGAGACCGAGAGCAGAGAGCGAGAGCGAAAGCGAGCTGAGATGAGCTGAGATGGAGGAGGGTGAGAGATGGAGAGGCTGAGAGATGGAGAGTGAGCTGAGAGCGAGATGGAGAGCAGACCCGAAAAACCTAAGTCTGAAAAACGTATGCAAATGAGGGGGGGCTTCGTATATATGAGGGACGTTAAAAACGCTGATTGAAAAAGCGTTTTTATTTAAGTAAACTCGCTATTAGCAATAGCGTTTTTCTGGCAAAAAAATTTTGTGTAAAATCGCTATTCGTAATAACGTTTTATGGGGAAAATGGATTTGGGTTAAAAGCGCTGTTCTTAACAGCGTTTTCCTTGGGGAAAAAATTAAGCCTAGAAACGCTATTTGTAACAGCGACTTCTTAATCAAAGTCGCTATTTGTAATAGCGATTTTCCTGTTCATCTATTTTTGCGGTCCTAACAGTAAAAGCGCGAATAGTAATGGCGCTTTAGCTTAGTTTTGGAATTCCGTCAGAAGTTGGCCTAGTTTTGGAAATACAATGTAAAAAGGCTTATATTGGGAAAAGCCTTTGGTTTTGATGCACCAAACCAAAGCAATCCTAATCGTTAGATCTGGTTTTGAAAATTGTTCGTTGAAGGATTAGAGCATTTTCAATAGTGCATTTTTTTTATTTTTTATCTTTAAATCAAAATTGAGTAAAAATTTTATTTAATATCAAGTATTTTAATGGAAGATTTTGACATTTCATCGAAATATTGGCCGATCATACAGACAACCGAGTATATGTCCAGCCGGTCAATCGGTCAGTATATTTTTTCACAAATTTTTGTCTCGAGGTGGATATTCGAAGGGACATTCGGGGATGAAAATCTGAACAGTGATTTGATGAAAACTTCCAAACATCCTTAATTTGGTGAACGATTTTTGATATCTTTGATTTGATACTCATTTGATGAATCTATAGGAACATAAAAAATGTTATTTTTTCATCAAATTTAAATTTAATAACAGAATTGATGAACAAAAGATGGTCTTACTAATGGTAAAATTGAATGGAAAAATAAATTAAGATAATTCAACCTTTGATTGATAATAGCCCTGTTTGAGAAGTTAGGTTTTGACTAAAATAGTTAATAGAGATAAAATAAGTAAAAATAAGTAATAAGACAAAATATTACCTTCAAATCATAATTATGTCATTTTTTTTTCTCACAACCATCAATTAACTATAAAAATAAAAATAAAAATCAACTATCCTCCCAAACATAACTTTTTTAGCCAAACTAAAAAAAAAATCAAAAGGTCAAAAAAACTAACCACTTATTTCCAAACTGAGCTAATGAATACAACATGGATAACAAAGAATTCAGCTTAATGGTTGTGTAATAGTTTTGTAGCGTGGGATTTCGAATTCAACTCTTAATCAGTGGTGGTGATTGTGTTGGGCTTAGCCTAGTTGATTTATTAGATGTTAGGCTTTGTTGACTTTTTAACTATTGTAGGCTAATAATCTATTTAATGATGTAAATATTTCTCATATTTATAATTACTATCGTATCTATTAACAACAACAACAACAAAAAAAGTGCAACAAGATCAAATACTTTTATTTTCAAAATATTTTTACAAAAGTAACTCTTGCTCACGTAAATTATACCCATTGGAACATTTTCATAAAAAATAGTTAATTTTATTTATTAGCTTAACTAGATCGTCAAATATTTAATTCCATTAAACTAATAATCACCAACGAGGGGAACCTGATCCTTGATTCACCGAAGGAGGGAACCTCTGATCATGTCCTTGGGACAATGGGATCTCCTTCCCCACCCCTGAAATCTTTCAAAGAAGCTCTAACTACGAAATGCAGAAACGAACATCTTTTTGACAGCAAGGTCGAAATTCTATCTTCGGATGAAGAGGATGATGAACAAGAACGACAAACTGAAATCCACACCTCTTCCTCAGAGCACTTGGGTTTTCCTCGGGTCACCTTACCAAAGAAACTCCTGGAGAAGATTAGACAACCATGGAAGAATGCCGTCATTATCAGACTTTTAGGCAAGACCATTGGGTACAAGATGCTATGTACTCGTGTCAAGAATATTTGGGGTCTTCAAGGGGAATTTTCTGCCATTGACCTGGGCAGCAATTACTTCATTTTTAAATTCTCTGACCCGTCGGATTACACTATTGTATTCATGGGAGGACCATGGGTGATCATCGACCATTACCTCACTGTAAGAAGGTGGGAACCAAATTTTAAACCTTCGGAAGCTTTTAAAACCACAACCGCTATTTGGGTTCGGTTTCCTGAGCTTCCGATAGAGTATTATCAGGAAAAAGTCTTATTCGCCATAGCCAAAACTATTGGGAAACCTCTAAAGATTGATTGGAATACGGCAATGGCGACGAGGGGAAAATTTGCAAGAATTTGTGTTGAAATGGACCTGAGCCAACCTCTGAAACCAAAGTTTATTTTGGAAGACCGATACTTTAGCATTGAATATGAGTCCTTACACTCTTTTTGCTTTCATTGTGGCAGAATTGATCACCGTAAAGAAGCTTGTAGGTTCAATAGGCCTACCATCCCACCGGCGGCGAAGATTATAGCCGTTACTGATACTATAATGCCTGACAATCAAATGACGGAGGCTAACGGAAACCTGCAACCAGAGCAAAGGGAGGAAGATTCATTCGGCCCATGGATGTTAGCTACCAAAAGAGGTAGACGCCCAACCCAACCCAAACGGGCCCAACCAATTCCTGGCCCAATTCCAAATACTAACAAATTCAAATATTTGGAGGAGAGCCCAGATGGCCAGGACAAAGTTCCCAGGGGCAAGAAGACCTATAGGTCAGGATTTGAAAAAGGTCATAGTGAGCCCAGTATTGTAGTCAACACCAACCCAACAAAAGACCCTAAGGGTAAAGGTAAAATTGGGTCCCCCCTTCCCAAACCTAAAGAACCAAAGCCCCAGTCTCTGCAACAGCCGAATACGAAGGTAATGGAGGTGAGCACATCGTATCTACCCACCGATCCTAGGGCAGAGTCACCAATCTGTGACCAAGTAATGGTCTCATCCAAACCTGATGGCACGCAACCGATCCTGTCGTCCCCTGACACGATTCCTACTTCGGAAACTCCACCTAGAGCTGTTGACTTGACCATGACAGAAGCTACTTCAACCTCTTCTACTTATGCCAGCCCAACACCAGCCATCAACCCTGCCCAGAAACCTATAGACACGCTGAATATAGCAAGAGAACCACCGGATCCAGGAGAAGACAGCAATGGAGCCGAAAGACACACAGAACTCATGAGAGCAAATAATCGACGTGGAAGAACACCGAAATCAAACCAGCACGTTGGCTTTGTTGTTAGAACCAGAGAGAGAAGCTACTCACCTAGTCGCTTTCGTTTGGTGAATAGAACAAATACGCATGACACTCGAGCTAAATTGGGAGGGCACCAGTCTCAAGCCATTTCACTTGATTCAAATGGCCTCCATGAGATCGGAGGATCCGCAGCATTGTTAAGGATATGGTAACTGACTCGCCCCTTATTTACCCATTCATGGATTTATTACGAATTTTATTCTGGAATTGCCGTGGAGCCGGCAATAACAACTTCAAACGTAACCTAACAGAAATAGTTCGTGCCCACAAACCTAAAATTTTAATTCTTATGGAAACAAAGGTGCCTTTTAGCAAAATGGGAAATTTCTTTAATAGATTGGGCTTCATAGCTTCGACTATTGTAGACCCAATTGGCCGTGTTGGAGGGATATGGATTGTTTGGGACACAAACCAGGTTAACGTGCGAGCTTCTTCAGTCAATTCCCAGGCTATTCATGCCACCATCCACAAAGAAGATTATGATAAATGGGTCTTAGCAGCTGTTTCTGCTAGCCCAAATCCTGTTGTGAGAGAGCAACTATGGGATGATCTAGAGGCAGTGGCTATCAACATGTCTAAACCTTGGTTGGTTGCCAACGATTTCAATGATTATGCTAACCAAGGAGAAAGAAGAAGCTTCAACCCAAGACACAATGCTGTTAGAAATCAGAAGTTCTTGGATAGGGTCAACAATTGTATTCTGATTGATTTAGGGAGCTTTTGCCCAAAAATGACATGGACTAATAACAGACAGGGTCTTGCCAACACAATGGAAAGATTGGATAGGGCTATGAGCAACTCAGAATGGCAAACCATGTTCCCGGAGGCCACTGTGAGAGTCCTTCCTAGGACTTATTCAGACCATTCACCTCTTTTGGTCTACACCCAAGGTATGCATACCCTCAATCCTCTCATTCGGCCTTTTAGATTTGAAGCTGCTTGGATCACATACCCTGGTCTTCTTGATGTTATTAAATCCTCCTGGTCTGATATGAACCAGAATCTCATTGATTCCACTGCTGAATTCACCTGTCGAGTTAAGGAGTGGAACAAAGAGGTTTTTGGTAATATCTTTCAAAGAAAAAGGCACCTCCTTGCTAGGATAGAAGGCATACAAAGATCCTTAGCTAATTACTTCTCTCATAACCTTCAGTCTCTTGAAAAGGACCTTATTTTTCAATATAATGCTTGTTTGTTTCAAGAAGAAGTTTTATGGTTCCAAAAATCTAGATCTAAACATATCACTCTAGGTGATAGAAATTCTAAATATTTCCATGTTTCCACTATTACCAAGAGAAGAAAGAATAAAATCAATGCTCTTAAAGATACTTCTGGTAATTGGATCACTGATTCTGTTAATATCAAGGCAAGTATTCTTGAGTATTTTCAACACCTCTTCAGAGATGAAGTTGTTACCAAGCTGGATCACTAGAACAACTTAACCCCTACCTACTTCACTCAAGAGGACAATGCTGGTTTATCTAAACCCCTCACTAATTCAGAGATTTTAAAAGCTGTGAAAGATATTGGTGCTTTCAAAACACCAGGCAGAGATGGCATTCAAGCCATTTTTTACCAAAAATACTGGAATATTGTTCAACATTCTGTGTGTGACTTTGTGAAAATTTGTTTTCATAATAAAATGATCCCTCAGGTCATTAATGAAACTCTTATTGTGCTTATACCTAAGATTGATAATCCTGAAAACATTAGGCAATTTAGACCCATTAGCCTATGCAATGTTTCTTATAAAATCATTACTAAGCTTATAGTTGGTCGTATTAGACCCCTTCTTGACAATTTGATATGCCCTAATCAAAGCAGTTTTATACCTGGAAGGAACACCACTGATAACATCATCATCACACAAGAAATTCTGCATTCTTTAAGAAATAAGAAAGGAACTCAAGGTGGCATGATATTTAAGATTGACTTGGAAAAAGCTTATGATCGATTGTCCTGGGATTTCATCAAAGCTACTCTTCTTGAACTAAAACTTAATGATAATTGGATTGAGTTAATCATGAGTTGTGTTTCTAACCAACACTCTTCTATCTTGTGGAATGGTGAAATTATTGAGGGTGTCCAGAATGGGAGAGGGCTCAGGCAAGGTGATCCCCTTTCCCCTTACCTATTTGTGCTTTGTATGGAAAGGTTATCCAATATGATCAACTTTAAAGTTCATCAGGGTTCTTGGAAAGGCATCAAGGCATCTCGAAATAGCCCTTCTGTTTCCCATTTGTTTTTCGCTGATGACCTCATCCTTTTTGCTCAAGCTAACCAAATGAATTGTGACACTATAATAGATGTTCTTTGTGAATTTTGTGAGGTGTCTGGTCAGAAAATCAACTATGCTAAGTCTAAACTCTTTATTTCCCCTAATATCCCTAGACTTTTAGCCAAATCCATCAGCTCCTCTAGTGGCATTCCCCTAACTCAGGATCTTGGTAAATATCTAGGCTCACCATTACTTCATAAGAGAGTTACTAAGAGCACTTTCAATGACATTCTTGAGAAGATGAAAACTAAACTATCAGGTTGGAAAGCCAAAAACCTTACCATGGCCGGGAGAGCAACTCTTATCCAATCTGTTACCTCTGCTATTCCCTCATATAACATGCAAACTATGGAGCTTCCTAGAAAACTCTGTGATGAGATAGATAAACTCAATGGAAATTTCCTTTGGGGTGACTCTGAGAATCACAAGAAAGTCCACCTCGTAAACTGGGATAGTGTGTGCAAAAGAAAAGTTGAGGGAGGCCTAGGCATTCGCAAGGCTAGAGCTCATAACGCTGCTCTTCTTACCAAACTTGGGTGGAAAATCCTATGTGATAAGAATAAGCTTTGGTGCAAAATTCTTCATTCCAAATATTTGAAACATCATAGCCTTTTTACTTGGCCTCAGAACAAGCAAGCTTCTCACATTTGGCGAAGCATTCGCAAAAATAGGGATATCCTCCGTAAGGGTGTTAAATGGGTTGTTGGCAATGGGGAACACATTTCCCTTTGGAATGATTGGTGGTGTGGTACTCAATCTTTAGCTCAAATTAATAACACCTACCAATCCAATGATCTTGATAAAGTTAGCTCTATTTTAGACGATGAGGGAAATTGGGATACTGAGAAACTTAAAACCCTTGTCACTAAACAGGACTTGCATGAAATTCTCAAAATATACAGACCTAGGTTTGTTACCTTTACTGATGCTCCTGCCTGGATTGGATCTACCTGTGGTAATTTTAATACTGGCTCTGGTTTTAACATTATTACTAATTCTGTTGTGGATGGCAGGGATTGGAAATGGGTTTGGAAAATCAAAACTCCTAAAAAATTGAAATACTTTCTCTGGCTTATCCTAAAAGGCCGGTTGTTGACCAACCATTTGCGCCTTGAAAGAAATATGGCTTCTTCAGACCTTTGTCCTAGATGTGGGCAGACTAGTGAAACTTTGTAACATCTCCTTAGAGACTGTGTCTGCTCCAGGAATATTTGGATCCACATCCAAAACAACTCTTGGTGGGAGGAAGAGACTGATCTGCCCCTATTTGATTGGGTGACCTGCAATATGAACAGTAAAACAATTCTTTATGGGTCTAAATGGTCTCTTATTTTTATTGTTACCCTTTGGCAGATCTGGAAAGACCGTAACAGACTGGTTTTTGATAACTTCTCAAACTCCACTCAAAACAGTCTTAAGTCCATTTGGGACTATGTGCATGAAATTGAAGAGGCTTTTCAATCCCTTCTCCATCCCCATTATTCTGTACCTAGATTAATTAAATGGTGCCTTCCTCCTGCAGGTAAACTTAAGCTCAACACGGATGGTTGCTCAAAAGGAGACCCAGGCCAGGCGAGGTATGGGGGACTTTTGCAAGATGAAACAGGCACTTGGATATGGGGCTATTATGGAAAACTGGGGCAATGTACAAGCATAGAGGCAGAAATTTGGGCTATCTATGGAGGTCTAACAATTCTGTTCCAGAAAGGAACCACAAATGTGGTGATAGAAACGGATTCAGAACAGGCCATACAACAAATCCAGCATGGTCCAACTCCAAACTCTCCCTTTAAGGCTCTCATTGAGGATGCTAAGTTCCTCCTGCAGAGGTGTGACTGCCCCCTTATCCACACATTCAGAGAGGGAAACAAAGTAGCTGATCTGTTAGCTAATCTGGGTGTTGCCCAATCTGAACATGTTCTGATCCTTGAGGACCCCCCAACTGAAGCTACTGCTTTTCTCATAGATGATATGCTTGGAGTCCCTGCTATAAGGGACTAACTTTCTGTAATGATAACATTAACATTCTCCTTTATGTGTTTGCTGTAATGGTGTTTTAACATTTTCTTTCCTTTGAATAAAAAAAAAAGAAATATTATTCTTATAAAAAATTAAATTAATCAAAACAATGTATGTGCATTATTAGATGACATTTGTGTTCAAAATAATAAAAAGTTCATAATCAAAATTATAATTATCATTTTTTTATGACAAATATAATTTAAGCATGTAATTATGGTTGTTTAAATATATATATATATATATATTTTTTACAAGAACAGTCTTCTTTTTACAAACTATTTGATGTGATTATTGAAATATGTCCTGTGATAATGAGCTCCATGATACCTCCAATTAGTTTTCTTAATTAGAAGTAGTCATTTCCATTTAGAATATAAATTAAGAGCATCTTTCATTGACATTTTTTAAAGCAATTTTAAATTTAATGAAAATTGTTCAATTCATAAAATTAGAATTTGATAAAAATAAAAATAAATTAAGACAATGAAATATTAAAGATAATTTTTTTTCATTAAATTTGATAAAAAGATAAATTTAAGATGAGAGAAAAAAATTAAAAGATTTTGGTGAAAGGGTTTAAATAATTCATATCATATCAAATTTTTTTATACAAATTAAATGAAAAATTGAAGTAAAAAGTTTTATAATAAAAAATAGTGTTTATTATAGTTCCAATCTTAAACTATCACCAACTTATCTATTTAGTTATTGAACTATTGATTGAGTCCATTTAGTCCATAAAATATATAAATCAAAGTCTATATAGTTCCTAAACTATTGATTGAATTTATTAAGTCCCTAAAGTATTTAATTAAAACATATTTAGTACCTGAAAATATTACAAAAATAAAATGTAAATATTATAAATTAGTAAAAGACTCAACCTAATTAAGATTTTAATCTTAAAATTTTATTTTGATTTTAAAACGTGTTTTATTTCATTGTGCGTTTAAATTAGTATTAGAGTATGGTTTATCAATTTTGTTAATAAAATTATATGAGTATTAAATATACAAAAGAAGTATAATTGTATAATTTAAATAATAACACTTCACTACAAAATAATAATAAAAGAACAAAATAATAGATTAATTAAGTTATAAAAAGAATTTAGTAAAATACTTTAAAATAATCAATTAAAAATTATAAACGAACTTTGACATATATAATACTAGATAAAGGCAAACACGTAATCATTGTAGAAGATACAAGTAAGAAAATACTATATATAATTATCTTTAGCCGCATAAAAGAAATTCACCATAAGAACTGATGTCCACTTTTTAAAGACATAATAAAAATATAAGTTTTTTTTTTAAAATAAAATTTTAATTAAATAGGATCTTTTACTAATTTATAATACTTATGAGTTTATATTTTATTTTTGAGTTGGTGATAAATCCAATCTAAGTAGTGTATAAGGTATTAGGTCCAGTGAATATTTTTTTTAGTGGAGATTCACCTTTTATGAAATAGTTTAGTGATAACAACAATGCTACAGACCCCCAAAACACACAACCCCACCCACCTATGATTAGTCTAGGAAGGAAAGAAAAAAAATAAAAAACAAAAACACATGATTGGTCCACATCATTTTGGGGGTCATGAGGATCCCCAACTTTGGGAGTCCCAAGAATTTTTGTTAGTGATAAATCCTTTTATTTGTTTTGAAAGATTTTTTGTTTCTAATTTTACCTCTTAATTTATCTGTTGACTTTTTTTTATTTGTTGACTTCCGTTGACCATCTGTTCAAATTTTTTTCCTATCTATTCAATTTTTTCTTATCTATTCGATTTTTTCCTATTTGTTCAATTTTTTTACCCTATCTATTCAATTTTTTAATCTTTTCTATTCAAATTTCCCTTATCTGATTAAATATTTGTTCGAATACTTTTCTGTCTATCCAAATTTGTAAGTTTTCCTATCTGTTCAAATCCTATTTGTTGTTCATTAACAACAACATCACTAAATCCTACATGTTCATCATTATCATCATTATCATCTTTATCATCTTCATCATCAACAACAACATCAAAAAAAAAAAAAAAGGATTCAAAGTTACCTTGGGCAGATGTAGACAGATACAAAAAACAAAAACAAAAACAAAAAAATAGATTCGAAAAAAAAAATGAACAGATCAAATCAGGTCAGATATTGTTCTGACAAATAGATAAGATCATATTAACTTCAAACGAAGAAACACGGCAGTGGGGCAGACCAACTTCTCAATTGCAAAACATGTATTGTATATAAATAAGCTTATACATATTTGTGTAATGTGTATACGTAACGGAAAAATAAATAAATAAAATAAGAAATTGTGATTGTAATGAAATTAAACTCACCAATTGAGGAAATTGGCAAGACAAACAAGAGAGTCCTATATCCAAGAAAATAATACAGGTTCAAATAATTCTTCAAGTATAGCGATTTTGGTTTAGACCCAAACCATTTGATATTCTAGATCTGGGTTTCATCGTCTTATATGGTTGTTCATATTTTGTTTCTCCTTATTCCTCATTGAGTTTTGTTATAGGAGTGTCTCGGTGCATTTGGAACAGGTTGGTAGCTTGTTTTCTTCAAAGCTGTTGTTGTCCAGAATTTTGCATCTTCGCTCGAGCGATGATTCTTGCACTCAAGCGGTCTTTGCAAACTTTTAGTACTTTTGAAGGTCTGTAGAGGTACTAGGAAATGGCATTCTTCGCTCGAGCGGTCTTTTTTGCACTCAAGCGATGGTCCTCTGTCTATAAATGTCACGACCCCAAACCGCCCCTAGTAGTTTGGTGCCGTGATGGCCAGTAATCCGTAATTACCGAAGGCCAACTTTCAAAAAAACTTAACATAATCAGAGTATGGATATAGGGGGCTCACAAATGCGGAAGCAATAAATCAAATACAAGTGGTCCATAAGAGCTGTGCATAGATCAAATGAAATGTCATTCATCTTACAACTTGAATACAACAAAGCAAGATATGTGTTACATCTTGATCAAAAGGCTTCTTGAGCCGACATATACAAAATACAGCAAAATACAAGCCAAGAAGCATGATTTTCAAGATTCGCCGACATGAATGCAAAATAAAGCCGACATAAGCACGGATCCAAAACAAGCTTTCAAAACAGTCTAGGCGTCGCCGACGTCCTGCTCATCACCTACATATATATAGAGAGGGTGAGCTTGGATACTCAGTGAATGGTACTAAAAATAAAGGTTTGCATGAATAAAGCCGGAGTCTTTCAAAACAAACGAATCAAACTTTATCAAGACAAGGGATGAACCGTATTCATCAATCAAGTATTACAACATCGGCGGAGCAAGGGATGAACCGTATTCATCAATCAAGTATTACAACATCGGCGGAGCAAGGGATGAACCGTATTCATCAATCAAGTATTACAACATCGGCGGAGCAAGGGATGAACCGTATTCATCAATCAAGTATTACAACATCGGCGGAGCAAGGGATGAACCGTATTCATCAATCAAGTATTACAACATCGGCGGAGCAAGGGATGAACCGTATTCATCAATCAAGTATTACAACATCGGCGGAGCAAGGGATGAACCGTATTCATCAATCAAGTATTACAACATCGGCGGAGCAAGGGATGAACCGTATTCATCAATCAAGTATTACAACATCGGCGGAGCAAGGGATGAACCGTATTCATCAATCAAGTATTACAACATCGGCGGAGCAAGGGATGAACCGTATTCATCAATCAAGTATTACAACATCGGCGGAGCAAGGGATGAACCGTATTCATCAATCAAGTATTACAACATCGGCGGAGCAAGGGATGAACCGTATTCATCAATCAAGTATTACAACATCGGCGGAGCAAGGGATGAACCGTATTCATCAATCAAGTATTACAACATCGGCGGAGCAAGGGATGAACCGTATTCATCAATCAAGTATTACAACATCGGCGGAGCAAGGGATGAACCGTATTCATCAATCAAGTATTACAACATCGGCGGAGCAAGGGATGAACCGTATTCATCAATCAAGTATTACAACATCGGCGGAGCAAGGGATGAACCGTATTCATCAATCAAGTATTACAACATCGGCGGAGCAAGGGATGAACCGTATTCATCAATCAAGTATTACAACATCGGCGGAGCAAGGGATGAACCGTATTCATCAATCAAGTATTACAACATCGGCGGAGCAAGGGATGAACCGTATTCATCAATCAAGTATTACAACATCGGCGGAGCAAGGGATGAACCGTATTCATCAATCAAGTATTACAACATCGGCGGAGCAAGGGATGAACCGTATTCATCAATCAAGTATTACAACATCGGTGGAGCAAGGGATGAACCGTATTCATCAATCAAGTATTACAACATCGGTGAAGCAAGGGATGAACCGTATTCATCAATCAAATATCATA